AGCACTTTCGTGAAGGGGCAAGGCATCGCAGCCTTCATCTGGAAAGCATACTCGGCCTCATGCAAAGGACCTTGCTGCGAGATGCCCTTTCACTAGGAGCTGGGATTTCCATGATCATGTTGGAATGCCAGAAGGAAGAAATATTGGAAGCTGTGAGGAAGCACTTGCGTGACCTAAAAAACAATCAAGGCCATTTGGATGATCTTTCGATCGAATCTGGCGATGTCCAGGGGACGGGCAATCAAGACAAGCAGCTCTATCTCCGCTTGCGCAAGGATCTGCGTGACGAGTTTCCGGATGTTTACAAAAGTCACAAAAGCACAGGCGACAAAAAGATCAGGTCAGAAGAAGGACATTGGTGGGAGGAAACAGAATGGACGCGGCTTGGGATACAAATAACTTCCTCAGTGGTGACGGCAGTTCTCGTTCTCCTGTTGCAGGTCGAGGAAAGCGCAGCATTCTACCTGAAGCCCTGTGAAGGCTGTGTGAATCGCGTCGACATCCTTGGACGTGAAGAACCTATTATGACCTCTTGGACGTTCTGGATGGTCACCTGCTACGTTGTGTGCGTGACTACGTACACTTGGTATTGCTTTGTTGAACATGTCCTGAACATCACATTTGTACAGATGAGGGAAAACCGTGACCAGCTTCTTCTGTTCACAGCGCTTACCAGAGCAGGCGCATTCAACTCTCTCTGGAGTAAGGCAAACTTGAAGCGCTTGTATCACATACTCTCAACAAAATACGGCGCAAAACAGGAAGAGCGGGCCCTGGAAGAGAGGGCCTTGAGAAAGTTCTTGGCACAACGCTTGCGCGGAAGTGGGGAAGCTTGCTTGGACCTGCAACGGCTGGACCATGCAGAAGCTTGGTGGAAGCTGCGGATGTACATACAGATCGACTTTCTGGATGAGACAGCGCTGGTGGAGATTGTTGGCATGATCATTTTCATGTTGACGGTGTTATTTGCCGTTGTAGGCTTGCTAGACTGGTTGAAATACCACACATTTTCTTTGCCTTTGTCGCTTTTGGCTTTGCTCATCTGGACTCTCGTCATTGCAATGTATCGAGTCTTTGAAGAGTGCGAGGCCATCAACAGTCTATGGGAGAATGACAATCGGGCGCTGTCGCTGGCCATTCTCAGAGCTACGCACGCGGCATGTACATCCCCCCACCCCGACCCCAAGCTGAACCAACACGCATCTTTCCTTCGAGCGATGCAGAACAAAGTCGCCGTGTTCGAGAACCGGCAGGAGCTCTTCGGCTGGGCCGTGACCCGAAACCTGCGCAATGGGTGGGTGGCCACCATGGCTACTCTGGTTGTGACTTCCGCGGTTCAGATCGCAAAGCCCGTGATTCTGAACGGCCTCCTTCGAGGGCAACTCCAGGGATTGCTGGACCTCGACGACGACATGTTTAACAACGCATCTACCGAGTGAGCCAAGCATGCAGTACAAACGTAGCACAGAGTGCGAGAGACAATTTGCCCTTGTCCGAGTGAGTGAGCCGTTGTTTCAGCAGCACTTTATGTGCTTCGCCGAGTTTCGGGGATGGGGCTGAGGTACACATTTGTGGGCACCTGAACAAACAACATTTCGAGCAGAAGGCATGGGGAAGTCACATTCAGGGCCCCGGCTTTTCGAATGCGGTTGGTCAGGTAGTGATTCAGCAGACCTCCCAGCCCAGGTCCCTCCCCTTGCCCAGTTCTTGCCCCAAGTAATTTCAAGCGGAGTGAGGGGCATCAGGACGGCAAGGGATCGCTTCCTTCGTCCCTTTGCCAGCTTCGGTCAAAGGAACCGAAGCATCGCTGCGCCGCTGACCTCGGTCTAAAGTCTAAACACATGACCATGTATACTTTGCACAGCAGAACGAGAGAATCGACGGAGGCAAAACTCGGACCTTATTCTGGGGCCCCGGAGCTTTGCAGTAGCACTTCGAGAGCAGCCTGATCTCCTACTGGATTTGGGCTTTTCCGAGAGTTTCAGACCCGATTTCTACTTAGGTTTGCTCATGAAGTCAGACCGGCAACTTCAGGCTTGAACCTCCAGGATGCTCCAGCTCGAGGGACTCCGTCGTCTCTTCCAAAGAGGGGAGGGGCGGAGCTCGGGAGTTTTGTTTCGAGGGAGTCTCGAGCAGGGCCGGAGACTATTCAGCAGGATGATCTGGGCAACCGGGCCTCAGAACTTGCGCAGCAACACTGTCGGTAGAGGCTTGTAGTGTATAGTTTAGGGTTTGCAAATATAGCGATCGAGTGAGGGC